CAAAAACAGCTATTACGTCTCTCATTTTGAAGTATTTTGCAACTACACCTATTGAATAATTTTTCCTATTATTAGTTACTCACTTAATTCCCAGCCAAAAGTTATAAATAGGTGAGAGAACTAGGACTCAGTCAATAAAATTCAAGCCCAAAACAAATATTTTAGTCTTCTGATGGGCAAAGTTTGCATTTTATCAGGCTTTCTGAAAAATTGAAAGTCTTTAAAGAACGTAAAGGACTAAAAACAACAAATCAGCAAACAACTATAAACCAGAGACATTCTAGAAGGGTGGAGAGGGGGATAGGATTCAAACTGGGACAGGAAGAGCACACGGCACTATGGTGATGACACACAGGTGAATTGGTGGTGGGAAGCCCACGGGGATTGCAACCGAGATGAAAAAATGTACAAAATGAAGAATGATGTGTATATATGTGTGTGTGTATATATATATATAAGAAAAGAATCTCAAGGACAGAATTCCTTCAATCCTAAAGCTGAGAAAACAAATTTGTAAGTTATGTTTTGTTGAGAAAACAATTTTCTGATGATGTTTTAATAACGACAGTACAGATTTCTTTTGTTTCAATAGCCCAGTCTTTATTTTTAACTAATAATTAGCTCCAGAAATATAATCTATAATTTAGAGATAAATGCTAGCATCTCCATAAGCAGAAACAGCAAGGATCAGCTTCTGGTTAGGCCTTAATTCCGGCTAGAATGGCCCTGTGTCAATAACCTTGGTGGCTCACGTGTGTGTTTGTTTGTTTTCCTTTTCAAATATAGTCAACCTGGCTGGAAAATCAATCTGAAAGAAAGCTCAGCAGGGATCTCAGATAAAGCAGGAACTTTCTGGGTTGAAAAGGAATGAACAAAGCATTTAAGAATAGAAAGAACAGATAGGTGGTGCATTTTTATTTTAAATCTCCACTGAAAGGCAGGTTTGGGTCTTTTGTTTGTGGTTGGATTTTTTTTTATTTTTGGTTGTTGATTTTTGCAAGTGGATGGGCTTGTCTTTGCTACTAAATGGACCAGCTTTGTCAGCTGTGGAGCCTGGCACCCTGCAAGGCATCACTGAAAGCAGTGAAGCCTGACTTTGGATTACCTTTGGTACACATTACCTATCCTCCAAGTCTTTGGCTCTTCCTCGCAAGCTTCCACGTGCAGCTATCTGAAAGAGCAGTACTTACGGGTCACAGAAACAGTGTCAACAATTTCACCAGCTTACGGCAAGTAGAGCTTGAAAAAAAAATAACTTTTCTCTTCAATTCACACTGCCTCCTATGATCTGCATGAGTGATGTGATAAATTCAGAGGTTAAGATTTAGGACTTGATCAAAATTAAGATATTCTGAAACTGATTTACCAAAACAGCACTTGTTCTAAAATGCATTGTGCTAAACTAGAAATGAAGCTTTCATTCTTAGCAAAAATCTTTCAAGAAGCACTTTAACAGCCTGTTCCGCCTTCAAAGGCGTTCTCCTGGCCACCCAGGTGAAAAAAGAGCCTTTGTAAATTCAAAATAGTGCCTCGGTCAGTGGTTCTCAACCCTGACTGCACATTAGAGTCATTTGCTTAGCTTTTTAAAAATAACTATGCCCAGCCCTTTCTGATTAATTGGTCTTGGATGGGAAGTTGGCATAGTATGTCATAAAAGCTCCCCAGATGATTCCAGTGTGCAGACAAGATTAAGAACCATTAGGCTACAAAGAATGGCTTGAGCCAGGCTTCCATCAACACATTTCTCTTTAGGGTTTAACATGAACCAAAGTTTTCACAGGAACAAACCAAAGGCTGATTTGAAAAGGAAAGAAGAAAAAACAAAAAAAAAACTGTTACTGATTTACAACTACAAATTATTCATGTAAAAATAAAATGTCCCACTCCCATGATTCTTTTTCACTAAAGCTACATTCAGTTCTTGTTGTCAGAATAGGTTTTCCTAAGTCATATGTAGGCTTAAATTTGTGGCAGCCATCTTAACATAGAGAATAAATGGAAACTGAAATGTTTCCCAAATTCCAATATTTCAAGCTGACCTCCCACACGTTCTCCTGTATCATGGACAGTACAAAAATTACCAGTTAATCTATAGAACTGAGGCTCCCAGAGGGGGTTGGAACAAGGCCGGGTGGGTGGTGGCCCACAGGTGTCTTGGTAGTGGGTATAACCTGCTAACAGCTGAGGGGTGACATCCTACCCTTGCAATACATAAACAATGCAAACCAATGTTGCCGCAATAAAAAATAAGTATCATCTATGACACTTCTTGGTTTAGAAAAATATCACAAGATCTACCTCTAAGGTGTCAACATCTTCCTTTTTTCTAACTAACTTTAAAGACTACAAGTCCCTTTCCTCCACAAAGCCTTCCCAGGTAGTTGTAAGCCCCACTGATTTCTTCCTATATGAATTTACAGTTTCCTCCATTGTCACATTCTATGATCACTAAACCCTTCATCACTTTTGGGCCTATTTTTCTAAGCGCCTTGAGGGTAAGAACCACTCTTTCCCCCAAACCCTTTTTTGGTATCAACGCACAACAAACGCTCACAACAGATGTTCCGTGTCATTATAACTTCCTAACCTTATACAACCTCTCCCACTCTTCCAAGTTCTTCCCTTAGCTCTAAAACCCCCCTTTAAAATCGGACTGGGGTGTCCACCCTACCAAGCATTCTCAGATACTCCTACTGACTTCCGAATGTTGGGACTCTCAGGTGCGTGCTCGACAAAAACTAGATTCCCGTCCATGGTGATTGTGTTCCACCTACCTATTTCCTTTATGATTTACCTCTCCCCTCCCTTCAAAAGCTAAATTGACCCTCCTATCTAGTCAACTCCCTCAGGCAAGGCTCCTTTCCCATCAGCACCCTACTCCTAACCGCCCACTCCCTCCCCAAGCAGCCCTTGCCAGGCACTTGGCCTCCTTTCTAAGATGGCGGCCACAGCCCAGTTGAGCAGCACAAGCTCCAAGCACACCGCGCCACTATCGCGAGCCAAAGGCAGACAGGCTCAAGGGGGCTGGGGGGGGGGGGCCGCGGGGAACTCCCAAAGGGCGGGGCTCGCGCAGAGGGCGCCCCGAGAGAGGACAGCAGCGCAGGCCTCACAGGTCTCACAGGCCTCGCCCCAGGAATGCGCGGCCTGCGTCACCGGAAGTGGAGGCCCCACCCCCAGCTCGCAGGCCGGAAGTGAGCGTTGCCGGGCGCGGAGGAGGGACGGAGGCGACTGTGCGCAGAGCGTGCGTCGACAGAGGTAGGCATGGCACCGCGGGCCCGGCTGGGGGCCCCCCAACAGCTCACCCTTGGGGTGCTGGGTCCCCTTCACCCCCGACCCCGCCCGGCTGTGCCCAGGGCCCGGGCCTCTGTGGGGGCTCAGCCCCGGTCGGCCGAGTCGAGTCGCCGGCGGTTCGCGGCCGCAGCCTCGTCCCCTCGAGGCCGCCCTGGCGCCTCTTTGCCTCCTGTTTAAGCTAACCGCCTTCCGCTGCTCACGTCCCCTTTGAATGTTCTGTTTAAAGAAAGAAACGCGTTTTCACTAAGGCCCCGGCTCTGTGTAAGCAGTCGCCTCAGACAGCAGCGGCCCCCTCGACCGCGCCGTGTCGAGTGCCCGTCTCTGCAAGGTCTAGTGCTCTGGAAAAGGTAAAGAACTTGGTGTAACGGCCTGGTGTCAGCACGCTCGACGGGCGGACGGCCGCGCCCCCGGGCCCTGCCGGCCGCCGGAGAGAGTGGGCTGCCACAGGGTGGTGCATCTGGCACCGGTGCCGCGCCCCAAATGCCCAGCATCGAGGAACGTCAGAGTCGGTTGCCTCCACCCAGCCGCTTTTATTTTTAACGAAAACGTAGAAAGTGACTTTGTACAAGTCAGACGTGTCAAAAGGAACGTCAGGATTTCTTAACCCAGACGTGGAAAACATGTTTGCAGAGTTTCGCTAGTGGTTATTATGAACAGATGGGCTCAGCAGCAAATTAATAAACTAGAGTTCCAGCTGACCCCTTGTGCTTCCCACAGGTTCCAAGGCTGCTTATGTCATAGAATGGGGGAGAAGGGGGTGGAATTGTGTGAGGGGCCAGGAGAGCTTGCTCGTGGCAATAGCTGTGAAGCTGGCCGGTTTTCAGAAGTTTCCTGGAGGGGTGGTTTTATATGAATTCAATTCCCCCCCATCAGTTTAAACACGGGGGGTGGGGTTTCCTCCGCGTAGAGAGGAGTCAGTTCTCCTCTTGATTGCCCATGCTTCTGTTACAGGCTCGTTGGGTTACCATCGTTAGCCAGAAAACAGTTCTTAAGTCCTCACCTTCACAAGTCTTTCCTCAGTGCAAAGGGGGGTGAATGTTAACTGAAGAGACTTAAGTAATCTAGTCTAACCATTTTAGCCGAGGAGATTAGGGGCCGCTACTGGGAGAGTGTGTGAGAAACTAAAAATGTATACAAAAGAGTTGTACAAATAACAATGGAAACGGTAAAGCAGAATGGCTCTGGGCCTATCAGATGGGTGACAGTATATATCGTTTGAAGTAGACTTCAGCCATTTCCAGTCCCAGCCTGCCCACCCTGTATTTTCAACAACTTGAGAACTTTATTCCTGTGTTCATCCTGAAATTTAAATCATGCAGTGGAAGGACTGGAGAGAGAGGACAGTATTCTCGTGGTCTGGACTTGCCCCTCTCCTGTTAAGTTCTGGCAGACATTAATAGTGGGTAAAATTACAAGCTGTTGTGATGACACTTAAAATAGATTGTTGCCCAAATAGTTTACAGCCGTGGTCACAGTTGGCTTTTCTTAATTATTTGTAAACCCTAGAATTTATTCCAAGAGTGTGAATTTGGCAAAAATATAAAAATGCTTCAAAGTAGTGAGAATGAAAAGAAACTATCTGGAGGAAGGGTTTCTTACCTGATCTAGGGAGCGGCTTTAATTCCAGCTGGACTCCACATTGGAGCCACCCTGGTACACTGTCCTTCTGATTCCCTGACCCACGCCTTTTTTTTTTTTCCCTCAGCACTTGGATTCGACTCCTTCATTGCCAACATGGAAGAAACTTACAGTATGTACTACTTGCTGCTTTTAGAAAATAAATTAGTCACATAAGTTTTTATCTCTGACATTGCAGGGAAAGTCTGTGTTGATGATGTAGAGAACTGCCTGTATTTAAACTAAGACACTTGAAACTTAAATAGTTACAGAGACCTGAGAAGCCATCAACTTTGAACAAACTGCAAGTTAGGACACCTGCAGTAAACTATTGCCATTTTTCATTAAATGATACATTTTCATTTCTTAGGACTTCAGTTTCTCCTGTTCATGACACAGGGATAACCTGTTTTCTTTCTGATTGGTGGGGTGATGTGGTATATGTACAGTAAGATTGATGGATATTGACTTTGTATATTAAAGAAATGCTAAGGAGAATTCTTCCTCCAGTGATTCAGCAGGCATTCCAGTGTAAATCCAAAAAAGACCCGAAAAGTCATTTCACTTAGCCCTCAGGCTTTAGGGTTAATTTTATTTTTTTATTATATATTAAGTGAATTTTATTTGAGAAAATAGACCCTAGGTTAAGGGATCGCCCAAAGGTACAGCTAGGAGAAAGGACCAGAGTGGCCTGCGTTGTTTCTGTTTGCTGTCCCACCTGACACTACGCCCTGCGGGTTCAAGGCCCCGACCAGGTTGGAGTTGAGCTGATGTTTGTGAGTGAAACCTGTCAGCAGTCTCCTACTTTGTGGTCCCATCCAGAATCTCTGTGTAAGTCCCAACTAAAAGATACTTTAATCCTTTTCTACCTTCAAGGAGGAGTCCGATACAGTCTTTATCACTGAAGTAAAGAAACTCCATGGAAATGTTTCATGTATTCAGCCTACAAGAGAAGCGCTCAAACTTTACTATGCAGCAGAATCTGGGGCCTGTTAAAGAAACAGGTTGAAGGATCCGGCCGACCTAGAATTCCTGATTCAGAAAGTCTGGGGCCCTCGGACTTTCTGATGCATCCCCAGGTGGTGATGCTGACCTGAGCATGGCATTTCGGGGATTATTGTTCTAGAAAACGGATTCTCCTCAGTCTACCTTAGGGCTCCCTGTCCCCACCTCTATTATGACTTTTCTTAAAATGTCTCTACTTAAGCCCTGAATTCCCCAAGTGAGATATAAGTAGCTAGATTTGTTTTTTGTTTGCTCATGAAAGCTATGACTGCTATTAAATGAGAAAACATCCCCTGCTATATCTCCCATTCTTAGTTACTTTTATCAGCCATAATTTTTCTCTTAGAAAGATTCACCTGGGAGGGCGTTGGAAATGTAGAATCTCACCGGACCTATTGAGTCAATCAGCATTTTAACACAACCCCCAAATGATTAACATCTGGGGGCATGTTAAAATGGGAAGACACGGGCCCTCCCTGGTGGTGCAGCGGATTAAAGCACAGCACTAAGAAGCTAAAGCCACTTCCACATGAGTTCGATTCCCGCCTGCCCTGGAGGTGACCACATGGCGTGGCAGACCTCTCCTGACCCGCCCGCTGCTCCCCTCAGCAGTGTACTTCTTTGATCTGCCTGTTCTGCTCCCCACTCTGTCTCTGGTGAATCCTCTCACCCTCCGCATTTCTGGCCTGTACCCCAGTTCTGTATGAATAAATAAATAAGTCTTAAAAAAAATCTTTAAAAAAAAAAAATGGGAAGACACTACCTTGGAACATACTTGATCTTTTTTTTTGCACATTGACCTTGAGCTGTAACCTCAATCTGGACGTTACCAGCTTCTGTCTTTGGGCTGTAGCTCTTAGCTAATGATATTTTTGTCAGGTCTAGTTTTGTATTTCCATGAAGTTTCCTCCATTTCTCACCATGGGTTCTGGACCCTTCAAAGTGTGAGGAACATCTGAATCTGTGCTTTTGGGGGAGACTTGTCAACAGGGCTTATTCCTTTTATTATTTTCCAGATTGTTACATGCCCAGAAAGCCAGATAAAATTTTGGCCAAGCAGTTTGATAGTATTTATTGCAATTTAAATGCACATACACTTCAATGCAGCACTGTTTAAGTATCTACCCAGGTAAAACAGTGATGTACTAGAAGGTTAACCATAGCATGGTATATAACAGTAAAAAATAAACTAGAAACTACCTGAATGTCCATCAGTACTGATTACAAATTTAAGGTACATCCACACTCAGCAAAATATTCCTTATCTGTGCTTACATAGAAGCAGCTCCAAGATCAAGTAAATAAAAAAAAAGGCAGTATTAAATATCCTGTCACGCGCTACACTGTGATGAAACTTGACATTATACTAAGTGAAATCAGTCACAAACAGACAAATGCTATGTGATTTCACTTACATGAAGTTTCTAAAATACTCAAACTCATTGCCAACAATTGGGCGGAGAGAAGAGGGGTTTAGTAAGTATAGAGTTTCTGTTTGGCAAGATGAGAAAGTTCTGGAGACTGCTTGCACAACAATGTGAATATACTTCCCACTGCCAAGCTACACAAAGTAGGCACAGTGGTAGTGTGTTACGTGTCTTTTTTATCCCCCCAGATTTTTTAATTAAAATAAATTTTTAAAGTCTAGAACTGACCTACCGAAGACCCGTTTATAAACCTTGATGGTAGAAGGCTCATTGTCAGCGCTGACGTCCGCTGTGGTGGGGACAGTATGACATCTGTGCGTCATAGGGCGCCACAGGGCTGTCAGCTGCTGACGTGGCCTGGTATTGACTAGTGATGGAATGGGTGGAATGAAGGAAAACTAATAAGAATTCCATCTGTAAACTCTCCCTGGGTGTCTAATAAGAATTTCAACTGTAAACTCTCCCTGGGTGTCCTCAGGCTTCTGAAAGAAACGATTGCTAGTTGGGATGAGCCTGGTGGCGTGATAAGCCTATCCTCTAAGACTTCTGCCTATTCATTCTGTCCTTCAAGTCACCTTTCCGGCTCATTTGCATCTCGATCATGGTTAACAATTTATTCCATGTTTACCACTCTCCCAGTGAAGCTGTCTGTCTCATTTCCCCAGAGTTCTGATTTTCCTCGCAGTCTTCTGGTTTATAAGCAGCTTATCAAATGTGAATTGTTTGTCTTGCCTCACTTTTATCATTGCCTACAGAGGTGGCCACAGCATTTTATTAGGTTGCCTCTTGTCCTCATAATATATATAGCCAGTGTGCTTAGCCTCTTCATTCCCTTCCTTAACCAGGCCTGTGAAAATTTGGGGCTCAGCCTAAGGGTGGTTCTTACACACGCTCAAGTAACCAGCTGTAGCAGTGGTGCGAACAGTGTACTCTTCTGAGGCTGATTTTACCTCGCGTGGTGTGAGTTAGCCACTTCATTTCCCACAGCAGCTTCATATGTCTACAGCTGTCTTAACTTCAAGAGGTCCTGGTTTTGCAGATTATTTTGTTTTTCTAGCTGACTTATTTGGTAATCACTAGATTAAAGATGTCTGGTTTTTTCCTCCTATGTATTTCAAAATATAAACAGTGAAACCGCCTATTTGATAAAAGTAACTGGCTTTATCACAAAGGTAACTGGAGCCATCAAGACCAAGACCTACATACAGCAGCAAGTTAAAGCAGGCAGATGGGAGAGAAACTTAATGCCAAGGCACAGTCGATAGCAAATAGGGGTGCTGGCAGAAGAGTCTGACTACCCTCAGCATCGCAGGGCCCAGTATGAGGGGCCCGTGCGCAGTGAACACCCCGCCCCAGCCCGTCAACACACAGCACGCCAGTCATTCCAGACTTCAGCATCCTCAGAAACCTGGCTGGGCGAGAGAGGGTCAGGAACGACCCTACATTCGTATCTTTAGAGAAGGAAAAAAGGATGTGTTTCACTTAACTTTTCGTTCATAGCAAAGGTAATCAACAATCATAATTACTTGTGTGCGTCCAGATATGAACGAAGACCCTCCCGTGTCACGTTGGAGGTACAAAGCTTCGTAGTTACTGTTTCCTCTTCTCAGGTAACGTTTTCATTTTCAAATGCTTGGTCAGCTTTTTTTTTTATTCCAAATTGTCATTGGACTGTCTTGATCTATTATTACAGATTCTGTAAAACATACATTATGCCTGGAACACGGTGGTTTTGCTTAATGCTGTGATGTTTTTCTCTTCCAGTCGATTCCCTGGACCCTGAGAAGCTGTTGCAATGCCCCTATGATAAAAATCACCAGATTCGGGCCTGCAGGTTCCCTTATCATCTCATCAAGTGCAGAAAGGTAGGGTGTTGTCCCATAAATGCCCTTACTGCTTCCTTGAGTTCTTAAGGAGCCAGATTTTGTTCATTTAAAATTATTTTTGCATACATGTTTGGCATGCCAGAACTGTTTTGGAGGAATCCCCCTTTGGGGAGTTTATTTCTTGGCTACCTACATTGTTTTTGTTGATGTTTGTTTTCTTGTTTGGGCCCCTGCCCCACACCTAATGACAAAGCATCCTTTATAAACAGTTCACATGGAATCTCCACCCTTTGTAAAACAGAGGAAGCACTCATTTTTGCTAATAGAAATTGCCTTGGAAACTTGATGTCTTCCCTGTCCTGAAAAAGATAGTGCAATAATATACATATTTTGAATGTTTTGTTTAGAAACTTTAGAGAAATTGAACAACTAGAGCTTAGCCCCAAGAAAAATTACTCCTCGTTAAACTATCTTAACAGCAAGTCTCTTTGGTGGGGGAGAAAAATAAACATCAGGATTTTTCCCCCCTGCTCACTTTTGTAGACATGGCAGATATTAACTGCTTTGATTAAGGCACTTTGATGGATTATTAGAATGAAGTGTCAGATACAGAAGCCAAAGCTCTGCCAGGATTTATGCTTGAAAATCCTTTGGTAGTTAATCCAAACTCCATTCAATTCATGTATGTATGAGTATCATTGAAAGGGTGTTTTTCTTGCAGTTCTGAAGTTTTGTCTGTAGTAGTGTTGGTTATTTCTCTGGCTCTTTTTTTTTTTAAGATGTATTTATGCATACAAGAACTGGGGTATAGGTCAGAGGTGCTGGGAGGGTGAGAGGGTTCTTACCAGAGACAGAGTGGGGAGCAGAAATACTGAAATAGCTTGCTGAGGGGAGCAGCGGGGAGACAGGAGAGGTCTGCTGCACCCTGTGGGTCACTCCCTGGCTGGGATCGAACTCATGCCGCAGTGGCTGCAATAGCTTGATAGTCCTGAGACCTTCACCCTGCACCATCAGAGAAGCCCCTGGCTCTACTATGTGAGGTAAAAACTGCTAAGGCAGCAAATACCACCCCAACTTTGGTGCTTTTTTATTTTAAAAGGGAAATATTGTGTTGAAGTGAATAGATTTATATATTTATAATTAGTTGAGCTTTTCCCTGGGATGTCAAACCTGTCCCAAGGGTAGTGGTTGGGGACAGGAGTCAAGCAGGAAAAAGACAATGCCATAACTCCCCCTTCTTATGCGCTTTGGCTATAAACCTTTGCACTGGCACACCTGATGCCCCTTAGGAAAATCGAGAAGATAAAATGCCTCACAATGTTCTCCATTCCCTGTTTTTTCCTAGCTTCCTGCCCACTTTAATAGTTCTACTTTTTTTGAAATGTATTTTGTGATACATCTTTTGCCTCTCCTAATAGTTCTTAATTATTGCTACCTTTACCAGAAACTTCGAGTAGTATTAAACACTTTCTTTCGCTTTCTTGTTTTAAAGTAAGGAACTTGCTCAGCAGACTACATGGGCTTTTTTTCGTTGAGAGGGCTGAGATAAAGGTCAGGCTGTTCAGAGCCTCATGTTAGGCATCATTACACTAACCGAGCACCCGGCGGTAGTCTGAGAAACCACGGGCTTGCCTCTCCTGGGCTCCCCTGGCACCCTTTGCCCGCACTGTGGCTTTGTGGGCAGCCTGCTGCCTTGCAGGCTGGGGGTGTTTCATGGCCACTGTCCATCCGGAACATCTGCTTTAAGAGCGCCCTACACACCAAGTGCCACCTCAATCTTGTGACCCTGAGAGAGAAACGGGGCAAAAATACAGTCTAGGTACCAGATTCTAACGCTGTGGAAGCCGTCGTGACCCGGAATCTGTGAGGTCATGTCACCTCACCGAGTGCAACAGAGGCTGTGCTTCGATGACTGTCGTACTGTTTGGTGACCTGATCGGGCGATCCCCTCTTAATTTTCTGCTCTGAGTTTGCCTGCCTTATTATACCTTTGTTTATTAAGAGAGATTAAGGGAGCCATTTATGAAAAACGGCTGAGTGCACCCGGAATTTTAATAGAGCCAAAAACCGACAGCCCCCTTAATTTTTGCTCCACAGAATCATCCTGATGTCGCAAACAAATTGGCTACTTGTCCCTTCAATGCTCGCCACCAGGTTCCTCGGGCCGAAATCAGTCATCATATCTCCAGCTGTGATGACAAAAGTTGTATTGAGCAGGATGTTGGTAAGATGGAGTGGCGGGGTGGCGGGTGCCAGGCTCAGCCCCTTCACGCGTTGATGACGCTGCGTTGTCGCCCGGGATTTGGCTTTCAGCCTTCCAAAAGAACAGTATTTTTCTGCCTTTGAGGTGGTTATCTCAGCAGCAAAAGATCGTCAGGTTGTGTCTGTCAGATAGTTTCTCCTCCTCAACGGCCTGATTCATTGAACTGGAAAGTCGTCTAAAAATAACAGATCCTTTCATTGTCATAAATATAGTAAATATCTTTGTTCCTGCTTTTCTTTCTTCTGTCCGGAAAGAGATAAGACCTCTCTAGCTTTCACGCCATCAATTTTTCAGAAACAAAGGTTGCTGTCCCGCAGCCTTATAAAACACTAGCTCCTCTAAACATCACTCAGTGATGGCCCTTTTCTTTTTTAAAGTTTTGTTTGTTTATGCATACACGAGCTGGGGTGTGGGTCAGAGGGGGGGGTGAGAGGAACCTGAGACAGAGCGGGGAGCAGAACAGGATGAAGGGAGCAGCGGGGAGACAGGAGAGGTCTGCTGCGCCCTGTGGGTTCCTCCCTGGCTGGGGATCGAACTGGTGCTGCAGTGACTGCGGGCAGCTTCATGGTGCTGAGACTGAGCCCTTGCACCCCGGGGAGGCCCCGTGATGTCCCCTTCTTATGTCAGAATTTCCGTTGCCTTGCAGTCAACCAGACTAGGAAGCTGGGACAAGAGACGCTGGCCGAGAGCACATGGCAGTGCCCTCCCTGTGACGAAGACTGGGATAAAGGTGAGGCGCCCGCACTGGCTTTTTCCAGTGTCTAAATCTCAAGTCACTTGCTTAAGACAGAAGGAAGAGTTTCCCTGTTTCCAAACACCCCGCGTTGCTCAGAATGCCTTATTATTTTTATTGGACCCCGAAAGAGCACATTCGTGTCGCTGTGCAGACACATGGAACAGCCCGTCCCTCCTGATTGGCTAGAGCCCGCCTCTGCATCTGTTTTGTCCCATAAATTGTGTTGCACCATCTGTGTTTGGTTGTTACTGGGCACATTTATTATTATTTACGGGGCTTGTGTTTATATCTTTCAATTAAATTCCTGCTACTTGTTGGGCTGGGTGCTTGATCACTTTTTCTCCGACCTTAGGTATGTTCTCACAGGTTCAACCAGCATGAACTGGTGTCTTCCCTCATAGGACCACAACTATGTTTTGCTTCTTTTGGCAGATTTGTGGGAACAAACCAGCACCCCATTTGTTTGGGGCACAGCCAACTACTGCGGCAACAACAGGTAAAGGCCAGCGCTGCCTGCCACAGTCAGGGCGCTCTGTCACGACAGAAGCCACCGGGGCATGGGCGACCTCTTTGCTTAATATTACTTGGGGGTAACCTAGATACCGTTTCAGAGGGCTTTTCGCCCTTCACTTCATTGTTCATGAAAAAGTCATACAGTGTGTTCGTCACTGTGGGAACTCAGCAATACTAGCTGATTAGTCTAGCGAGGCAAACCATGGTGTCAGACTTTCTTATGTCTCACTTGGATTTTTTTGCTGTTTTAATACTCTGAAAAAATTCTCCATCTATACCACATGAATCATTTTAACTCTGGGTAGCAAGGAGCTCTGAAGAAAAGGTAGCCTTAAGCATCCTTGATTTGAAATTAGAGAACTCCAGGTACCGTTGGGCGGGGAAGAAAATTCATCTCTTCTTCCCACTGATTTCTCTTTACCACTTGGATTTCTTAAAAGCTCAGTTTTCAAACCCAAGTGAGAATATTTCTGCATTAGAACAGGAGAGCAAGAGATGCTGAATAACATTTTTTCCCAAAGAAAATGTTCATCAGTTTTTATCTCAGAGTTCTAAGGTCAGTTAGTAATGGTCAGTTATTTTGTATAGCGCTGACAGAGAAAAACTGAACGATGAATTCCATTGGTATGATTTTAATTTTATCTCCACTCTGTAAGATTTGTTGGTTTGGTTGCCTCGGCATTTTATTTTCTGTGACGTTTATGGAGTGAGCTGATAAGCCCGTCATCTGACTGAACAGTAGATGGCATTGCTGTTTATCTCAATTTCTAGAAAATGAAAGTGGCTGATGCCTGTATAGAACAGTGAGCTTTCCAGAGAAGTGGTCATCATTCTAATTGCAAGATTGTTTTGATGGAAATGTGTTTACATTTGGGAGTGCAAGGTGGTGGTTTTCTTCCGCATGACGGAAACACATTTTGATGGTCTGTGTGTGCCTGAAGAGTAAAGATAGGCCGGCGTCATCACATCTGTCTTTGTGCAGCCCTGCCAGCAACGTCGTCGTGGAGCATAAGAGTAACCTGGCCTCAGGCATGCGCGTCCCCAAGTCTCTGCCTTACGTCCTGCCATGGAAAAACAGTGAGTGAAATAGAGGCCAGAGGGTCTTCCCTTGGCTGCGACTGTTAGCTAAATACAGTCGGGCTTGATTATCCAAAGACGTGTTCCGTCTGAATGGCTTGCGCTCACGTGACCCTCAGAGTGTGCGGCTGCCCCTACCTCACCCCCTCCATCTTAGCCCAGGCCCCAGCTGGTATGTGGAAATGAGGAAGAGGAAAGTACAAACTCCCTGCTGCAGCCAAAAGAATATTTTCATGATGGGGTGATCACTGGCATCAAATACCATGGGTAAATGTGGGGGGGGGTGGGCATAGAAAAGCATTGGCTTTGGCTGGGAGGATGGACTCCTCAGTGTGAAGGCCTAAGCGCTCTAGGGAATTGAGACTAGAACTTGGATTGCCGGCAAATGAGGTAAGTCGGAGGGAGAAGACAAAGACGGCATGTTGTCACCACACGTCAGCTCTACAGAAACAAAACAGACAGAAACAAACAAGCCCTTAGAATCTGACTGCAGAAACTCCGGGAGGGGTGCGGAGAGCGAGGTGCAGGGGCCCAGTGGACTGAGGTGGAGGGTGTTGGTGTTTCGATTGTGGGAGTGGAGTGGTGAACACACATTTGGAGAGGTGTGACCCTGTGCCGTGTTGTAAGCCATTGTGCTCTCAAAATAGGAGAGACAGGAGTGCAGAGATGTAAAAGGAAATGGGGAAGGAAAACAAAACTAAAGTCCTAAGCAGCAGCATAAAGAACAGCGTCGGAGTGTCTGACCCGGGTGTCAGGGGCCACGGCTTGGACAGGCCCCGACTCGGTGGTGAGGCCTCCCTGGGAAACAGCCCCCACAGGGACCTCCGGGTGCTGCCTTTTTTTCCCCCCCCCCTCACTCTGCTTTTCCTGATGATGCCTCCATGTTTGAGATGCTCCTGATTCAGCCTGTTTGAGCTAATTTTTAGGTATCTTGAGGATTCCCTTTGAATACTTGTATTTCCCCAAAAAGGAGCTTAAAATTCTCGAAAAGCTTGATCGGTAAAGCATTGTTTTCTTCCCCTGTGCTCTTGAATCCAATCACACCAATTTTAAATTCTCCTACTTTTATTTTGTAATTCAATCTAGACCCCAGGAATAAGTCATTTGTGTTTAGTAAAATTAGGGGATGGAGTGAATTTCACTTGACATGCTGTATTTATTTTGAAATATTTCTGCTCCGTAGATGGAAATGCACAGTAACTGAATATCTAGCTCATCAAGTAAGTGTTTGTTTTATTTCACTCTCTTCAGATGGTAGCAGGATTTAACTGGACATAAAGCAATTTGGGTCCAATTTTCTTTCAGATTATGTTACCAAATTAAAGCTTTGTGTGTGCGTGTGTTTTTTAAGTTTATAGCCTTTGTTATGGCTTTACACACTAATGAATAGGCATTTACTAGTTAAATTAGAATTCTGTAGCATGCCAAGTTGCCTCCCTAACATTAGTGCACATTGCATTTTCTTTTTCTTTTTTTTTTTTTTCAAAGTTGCATTCTGGATCTATCAAGGCTCTTTAATGGACTGAGATTAATCAGACAGCTGTGCTTCGCTGCTCTGCAATTCTTTCCCAGTGCAGTACAGTTTAACACTCATCAAAAAATTCATACTCTTTAATGAGCACTTAAAAGTTTTGGGTTGCTAAAAGTCTGGGCATTGTTGGCCTTATCTGAAATTTTTATTTAGCTGAACCTAGTTGAAGAGGCCAAAATCTGTGACTTTGCAAACACGAAGTCTTTCCTTGCGCTCACCCTTTGGGCCCATCACAGAGCCAAGTCTGAGGCTTCAGCTGCTGTTCTGCCAGAGGTTGCTGGGCCACATTCCTCTGGCAGACACGGTGTTAGGCTGGGGTGGCATTCTGTCCCAACCGTCTCGCAGCCCATAGGCCCTCAGCAGATACTCTCCAGTGAACAGCTGGTCTGTTCACATCTCTGGGCAGTGAAGCAGAGGCATCTGTGAGTTAGGGTTGGTTTTATACCAAAACTGCGTTTCATCTAGTGAGAAGCAGGAGAAAGGCTCTGATGAACAGTCTTGAACTCTGGAGAACAGCAATGACCAGCTGCTTCTAGATCCCAGCCATTTTCCCTGGTTGGTTCTCATGTCAAGTTGTTAAATGAACGTCAGAGCTAGCACATCGGCCAGCTCTGAAAGGGGTTTGTGCACTTAGCCCTCAATGTTGTTTATCCCACTTGTTTTTCCAGGTAAGTGCCTCAAGTTAGATGAATTTTTTCCCCTAATATACATTGTAACAGCTCAAAACTGTAGTTGAATTAATCAGGAAATAGAATATATGAAAAAGATCAATACAAGTGGGGGGAATTAATCCAGAATTGTCTGGAGGCGTGAGTTCTGATTTCCTCCTCACTTGTGAAACTTGACACAAGAAGTGTACATTGACTCTGTAGAATGCTTTAATTCAGTCAAGTTTCTGAGTGCTTGGTTCCAAAGAGCTCTGCTTGGTGGTGTGCAGTAAACAACAGGCCAGGAGATTTCGGTTGGAATACAGTTATGTGATGTGTTGTTAGATGTATGCTGGTGCTTCTGTCACTAAAAGGAACTAAATTTTTTTTTTCTCCTTTCCTTGTAGATGCCAGGCCCTAGAAGATTCTTCCTGCTACCACTGGGTTCTCCATTTTTCTCCTAGTCTAATTATAGAAAGATAAACTGACTTTCAAACTGACAAGTACTTTTCTTTTCTACCCCTCTGACTCATTTGATTGAAGAAAGAACCCTCATACTCAGAAGAACTGTTCCAAATAAACCATCAGTGTAGTGAATTAGCTTGGTTACCTACCTCAGAAATTATCACATGCCATTCAGATGTTAATGAAACGTAATCACTAAAAGTTATCTCAAAAGGTCTAGCTAAAGCAGGCAAGAAACTTGGGTTAGGAAAAGTAACTGTGTATGTGTGTGCTCATATCTAGGAACCAAATTTGTTTTAGCATTACAAGAGTGCACCTTTTTTGATTAGTGTTTGTTTATCCAGCGTCTCCAAGATTTTGATTGCAGTTATGAAAAAAAAATACCCCAGAATGTTTAGTCTTTGGGACATCTTGCTACTTCTAGCCTACGGTAGATTTGCCCTCCACTTTCCAGCTAGACAGTATAGCAGCCGTCAACCTCGCTGTGGATTCTGTAGGAGGGAAGATTGGAGAAAGCCGTGGGTATGTGGGGCAGACAGGCTTTCCACCTGTGAGCGAAATTTGATTCAGCCTCAAACCTTAAGTGTGTGTCTAAGAAGGTAGATTTCTGCAACATCCAGGGCCAGCTAGCCATAGGTAGGAGGTCTCGAAATCCCCCAGGCCAGTTTGTCTCGGTCATCTTTTTGTTTGTTTGTTTGGTGGTTTTCAGGTTTGGTTTGATGTTTAGAAATGTCTGGCATGGGAAGGAATCTGGGATTGGTATAGATAGGAACTTGGGTAAAGCGTACTTAAAATCTTAAAAAGATTCCACAGCATGTGGTGACAGATAAGAGGAAAAGGGCTTTTGTAGACTAGCCCGCCACCAGTTTCTCACGAGACAGGATGGTGCCCTCACACAGCAGAGCACTCTTTGCTCTTCGGGCAGTCCCTGTCTCGAAAAGTGGCTCAAGATAAGCCTGAGTAGCTGGCCTGCCTGCTGCAAGCTGCGTGGTCTCCAGAACGCCTGGGCGTTTCCTCTGGAGAAGGTAGAGGAAGGGGAAATACCCTTAATGCCCCTAACTCCAGTACTTTGTGTAACGATACCTCGCAGCAACTTTTGATTTTATTTAAAATTGTCTTTTTGCTGGAAAAAACAATGCTTTTGATCTCTTTGGCTTGATGACAGAACAGAGCTCTCTTGTGTGACGCTAGTAACCAGAACCCGAAGAAGGAGCAGAGGGGTGAGTCTTCAGTGTACAGAATTAGTCACTTTAAGACAACTTAAAGGAATTAAATGCATAGTACTTTGGGTTAGTATTTTGGCTTTCAGATCTAAAGGCATGGCCGAGCCTAACAGTGTCACTCATGAAAACCTGACACACCCTGTTTTGTTAGGCCACGGCTTTGCTGGTGACTGCAAGGCTGAATCGCACAACAGCCCTTAGCGGGCTGTGCTGGTGTAGTTAGCTCACAGAATAGACAATCCTCTCAATGCTTTAGTGAACTGCCGGCTAGAGCAGCCAAGTTCCCTGGTCTAGGAGCTATCAGAAACTGCTTAGGGTTTTCCCTGGGCCTAGAATCTCCCGGTCGGATTAAGTTTACTGGAAATTTTTGATAATTCCCAAAAGACAAGAACCAAGAAGTGACTGGCCACTACTGTCAGAAGTCAGGAAGAGAAGCCTATTCAGCTTTGAGCCCCTTTTTTTCAGAGAGTACCCTTCTTGGGAATGTAAACAGTGGAACATTTTGCCTTCATGTCAGCCGAACTCAAGTGCCAAGGGTAAAAGGCTAAATGCAGAGACATTTCCAAAGTTCAGCCCCAAGAGCCTGTGAGTCCCTATGATTTGATCTTATGCAGAGGGTCTACTGTAGCCCAAAAGAATGGGTTCACATTTGGAAGATGACCTTTCTCACATGGCTTCTAGAAGTCCCATTATGGTTTGTAAAGACTCACACCTCAGAAACAAACGGAGGTAATGAAGGATGCTTTGCTCTTCTGGTAGCTATAACTGAGCAAACGGAGAGTGGATTTCATTTCAAATAATGCAGTGCAGTTGCCCTTCCGGGGAGGGGGGTGGGCAGGATAGTCGCTTACATAAGCTCCCAGACAAATGAACACCCCTGTACCGCCTCTTCGAGAGCCCTTCGTTTGGACAGAGTGTGTTAGGTGCCAAAGTAGGCAGAAATTGAGCGCCCTAACCGTGTGCTTATTTTTGCCATCCTCAGAGAGGCAGGTTACAAAGTCAAGGTGGTTTGTGCCACACCATTTAAAGGATCAAAGCTTGACTGGCTGTGGGGAGAAGAGACCTTTAGGAAAATACTCATTTTCTTGTGCCAGTTCAGTGGATGGCAGAGTGCCCAAATTCCATGAGATGTACGGTAGTGGCTGCTGGTTCTTAGGATCACAATTTTCGTTGCTAAGGTTCTGGATATATTCCCCTCCGACGTTACCAGCTGACGAGGCCACTGCAGTCACAGGAACCTGCTGCCTCGTTGGCCACGCAGAGGTCTGTGCTGTGACAGGGCGTCGGCTCTCGACACAGCAATCTCACTGCCTGCTTCAACTCACTTAAAACTCTCATAAACTTGGTATCTGAGACAAATAAGAAAGCTAAGATTGTTTATAGCCAGGAAGAACAGCATGTTGGGCCAGACAGTACCTCTGGAAAACGACCATATGGTCAGCAGATTTGCGTTTGTTTACACTCTTCAAAGACTGTTTCATATAAAACTAAAATAGTGTAAGAGTCTTTGAGGAAATGTGAAGAAAAGTTAGTCGTCATTTTGTTTCATATTCATATAAATATATACATGGAGGAAATAAATCTCGGTTGTATGAAAATCTGCTTATGAACCCAACCAGACCTCTTCATTTTTCCTAAAATACCTGTCACTGAAATAAAAGTATGCTTTGCCAGATTACCTGTTTCATGTCTCTGTCCTCAAGCCTGGGGTCAGGGTTTTCATTGGAAGGGGTCAGGGGCTTGGATTATTTACCTTCTTGTGCTGGTTTTCTCTGGAGTAGACCTTCATAGCAGAGGTGCAAATTGAAAGTGATAGAAGGTCTTGTTCTTGAGATTAGAGGCTCCTTTGAGATATCCTTTTGTGGAATTGGAGATTTCAACTGAGTCGGTTAAGACCTTTGAAAAACAAGCATTGATAGGGTTTATGATCTGGCCTGCAGCTTTGAGATCCACCCATCATGCCTCACAGGCTCTTAGAGCTGGAAGGCGTTCACAGAGCGGCTAATCCAAAGCTTCACCTTCCACATGAACAAACAGACCCAGTACAGATAGGAAACACTTTTTTTTTTTCTTTTTTTTAGGGTGGAAGAGAATAGTAAACACAAAAATCAAGGTAGTGGTTTCCTCTGGGGGACAAACCGGGGAAGAATCAGGAAAAGGCTCAGTATGTTAGTAAGTTGGGCGGTGGCCTGGTGTTTATTTGATTATGCTATTTATGTGTATATTAAATACTATATAGTTTTAAACATTTAAGAATTATTGCAGAAATAATTAGAGTGCTCCCTGTAGGCAAGCCACAGTTCTTAGTCATAATTTTAACCCAGAGCCTGGGTGGAGGTAAAACAGCCCCTATAATCAACATCCTTGCTGAGGCTACACAGCTCGTTAATGTGAGCGATGACCTTAACCTGCAACGTCAGATTTCTGACTTGCTGCTGCTGGCTTCTACAAGCAACCTGCCCTGAGCCTCACTTCCCCAAGCTCTGAAGTCTCCTAGACACTACCAGCTTGGACTCTGTCGTCAGTCACTCAGCTGGCCTAAATCAGCACCGTGAGATCCCATGACCCCATGTTCCTACCATCTGTCTACTGAACTGGCTTCACCAATTTGCAAGTCAGGTGAATGCCGCCACCCTTTCTCCATCTCATAGTTTCATCAAGCACAGGGAAGGGAAAGTCACATACAAATGCCAAAACGCAGGTACTTGTTCTGTTTGGCTTTTCCAGATTTAATTCCATCTTCCTCCTGTTCTCAACTTTATAATCTATTTCCCACCCCTACCTTCAGCAGATGGCTTTGACTCTTACCCCCAAGAAAATACTGGTCACCAGACTTCACTATTTCTCCTAGACAATCCTTACAGCATCCATCTTTTCGTTTATCTCCAAGGCTTACCTCTTGTACTACAGCTCAGTGTTGATAGAAATGTTCCCAAAGCAAAGTGGATTAAGATGATGATAAGTGGGGCCCTCCCTAGTGGCTCAGTGGTTAAAGTGCAGCACCATGAAGCTGTCCACAGACACTGCAGCCCGAGTTCAATCCCTGCCCAGGGAGGGACCCACATGGCGCAGCAGACCTCTCCTGTCTCCCCACTGCTCCCCTCAGCAGTGGATTTCAGTGGATCCACCTGTTCTGCTCTCTCCTCTGTCTCTGGTAAATCCTGTCACCTCCCCACATCTCTGGCCCAGTTCTTGTATGCATAAATAAATCTTTATTTAAAAAAAAAAAAGATGGAAAGCATCGTCTTTTCTATGGTAAGGAATTCAGGAGTGACGGGCCGTGTAATCCCGGCTTGGAAACGTCAATATGGTTATAGCCAGGGCTGCGGTTTTCTGAAAGCCCAGCTGAGGCTGCAGTGGCTGCTGCTAAGATGGCTCCTGAGGCATCGGCAGAAGGCCTCAGCTCCCGCCCTTTGGGGCTCTCCAGAGTCCTTTTTTTTTTTAAAGATTTATTTATTCATACAGAACTGGGGTACAGGCCAGAGGCTCAGGGACAGTGAGAGGCTTCAGCAGAGACAAGAGTGGGGAGCAGAATAGACTGACTGATGAAGTACACTGCTGAGCGGAGCAGCGGGCAGTCAGGAGAGGTCTGCCGCGCCATGTGGGTCACCTCTGGGGCAGGCGGGAATCGAACTCATGCAGAAGTGGCTTTAGCTTCTCAGTGCTGCGCTTTAACCCGCTGCGCCACCAGGGAGGGCCACTCCAGAGTCCTTTTGTCCCACAAGCTGTCAACTGCTTCCACCAGAGTGGGCCGCTCAACAGCAAGGTGGAAAAAGCTAAGTTATCTTATGAAATCACACCCTGTCATTTTTACAATGTGCTTTTGGTGACACCAGTGACCCCTTTTCATGGGGTGGGGGGCTTCAAAGAGCACAAATACCCGCAGGCAAGAATC